TGTGTGTTTGTGTGTGTGTGTGTGTGTGTGTGTGCGTGTGTGTGTGTGTGTGTGTGTGTGTGTGTGGAGGGAGGGGGAAAGTTGAATCGGTATCGCGATTAAAGCATAAGTAAAGAAGAGTGCATTTATTTCTCCGTTATGAAGGGAGTGGTGACAGCGGGATAACCACTGATCTCAGATGATAACTGGCGCTCACGGCATGAGCGCTGTTTAGAATAAGTTGGAAAATCGGGGTCAACATCAGGTACCAACAAAAAATTGCCTATAGCTGTTTTCAGGTAGACGGGATAGGCTCCAATAATTTACTACTTGCATCTCCCAGAGTTAAAAATAGTATGCATTGCAAATTCCAGCTCGATTATGAAGCATGTCATTTTTCCGGCCCGAATCGGCCGAGGTTAGGAACGAGGTATACATTCTGTCATGCAGTTAAGTTGGAATACTGCCAGATGGCCCAGTTTCTGTAGTATCGCCAGTGTGAAAGTGAGAAACTGTTTTGTGCAGCATTACGGTGTTGGTAGCAGTTAAATGTGTGTGGGAAACGTAGTCGTACAAAGTAACACAACTTGATGGGGAGGATGATGTAAAAGTAAGGTCTGCATTGTTATTGTGAGATTAAAAGAAGTTGGACTTGGTTGGGTATGCGTTGTTCACTTTATAGAGGCGAGGTGACGCGAACGAAGACCTCGGAGGACTTCTGAGAACTGCGTGTGTGCGTGATGGGAGTAATGTGTAAGAACTGCAGGAGCTGTGATGAGAGTATCTGATGCAGCTTTGATCTTGTGCGCCGGTAAATCCAGTGATCCGAACAATTGTAGTGGTTTTTGCAAGTGGTAACAATTCCCTGTTTTGTAGAATCGGGTATCGAAAAGCTCTTCAGTCAACCAACGAACACAAATGTTTGTGCCTGGAGCACCGATTTCTCCGTATGTTCTTACAGCATCAGGCGCAGGGCAGTCATTTATAGGTTCTTCGCAGGCTACGCATTCCCAGACAGGTACATTGTAGTTGAGTGTCGTGGAGATTATTCCTTATCGTTTTAAAGTTTCACAGCTGTCTGATTCCTGTTCAAGATGAACTTCCTGTACTTGGAAGTTTCACTTTTATGAATTTATTGTGTGGACAATTTCCCAGAGCTTTTGCGTCTAAAACTTTTGTTACATATATTGCCTAATTTTGGATGTTTAGGTTCATATTATGCGAGTGGTTATATGCATCCACGGCATTCGTCTTACTTCGATCCGCAGTTTCATCCAAATCCCCTTTCAGCTGCATCTCCTCCCGCACCTTACCCGCCTGCTACTGTAAATTATCCGTCACATCTAGGTAATATTGGTAAAACACATCCCGTGGGTGCTGCAGCTCAAAGCGGCTTCTCATATTCTTATCCTCGTGGCATGCATCAGGTATTTTTTTTTTCTCAATCTCAGCATCAGAGTAGGCGCAGGCTTCTTGCAGACATATTCACTGTAAAGAAAAGATTTCAATAAGATTTTTCTGTCCTCGCCATCTTCGAAAAGTGCAAACACATCTCTCAGTCAGTAAAGTACCTCGTGTGGTTTACATACGAAAACTTTTTGGACAGCGGTGAATATCTCAGTATGGCTGAGACCTTTCCGTGTAATTCTCTCAGGAGAATGACTGCACTGATATTCCTTACCAGAGCCAAATAAACGCCGCGAGCATTAGCACGTTGACTGTCAGACGACTGAGCATTGATCAAAACAGCTGTTGAAGTAAAAGTTATCAGTTGCACGTTAGAAGGCCATAGGATGAGTTAGCAGCTGTTCTCGGTATCCATGCAGTGAAACTGCGTAACATGTGATTTCTCTAAAAGTGTTGAGGTGCAGGCGGGCAGTTCAGTAATAGTGTCATG